CCTCCACCGATCCCCAATGTCTCCCCTCACTCCCCGGAGTGTTTCTAGGGCCTATCAGATCAAACCCCAGGAGTTTGGCTTTGACACCCAAACAAACCCAGGACTTTGGCATCCAAAATCTGGAGGCCTGTTTGTGATGGGGTGTACCTGGCCCCTTGTGGCCTCCTCCTGGTGGCCCTGCAGTCCTACTCCCTGCCCCAGGAAGGAGCAGCAGAGGGGGCTCCTCTAGGCTTGCCTAGAGAAGCCTCATGGAAGCAGCCAGTCAGAGCCCAGCAGTCTCCTATAAAAAGGAGCTGCAGGACCTCAGCTGCTCAGTTCCTTGCTGGGGGTGGAGGAGCAAAGAAGGGTGCTCAGCTCTGGCCAAAAGGCATTTGATAGGCTGCATGAGCTAAACTGGGGAGTGAGAGGAACTGAAACCGTTACGAGGTAGAGATGGGGAGAGGCCCAGGGAATGTAGCAGGAATTAATTAAAGGAAGCAGTAGGCTGTGAGGTCAGCAACATATATGGGGCACCAGGAGTGGGGGAAAGATTGCAGTACCACACCCAACTACTAGCAGGCACTCAAGAGACAAATACCACTCTGTTCCACTGTGGGTAAGTGCTGAAATAATCATTGGGCCAGAGAACGTGAAGGACTCTCTAGTCCAGTGGTCAGGGCATCCACCTGGGAGGAGACCCTGGGTCTAGTCTGCCTGCTCCAATCACTCTTTCATTATTTATCCACAGGAGAACAGCTTCAACAGGAGAAACGGAGGGAGCCTCAGATCAGAATAACCCAGTGGTTAGAGCACCTCCTGAGACATGGGAGACTCCTGTTCAAATCCTCTCTTTCCCTCTGGCAGACAGGAAAGAACTGAATCTGGGTCTCCCAGGTCCCAGCTGAGTGCTCTGAGCACAGAGCTAAACAGTGTGAAGTGGGGATCACACCATCCTGCAGAGTTGTTGCAAGTTTGTTACCTCGCTTCTGTTCATAGTTCTGGTCATAGTAAAGGGTTTATCTAGACACTGAGCTACTCATCACTAATGCTACATCGACACTAGAAGATGCTCTAAGCTCCTCCCATCAGCTTAATTGCCCCACTCGCCGTGAGAGGCGTAGCTCTGTCAGCGGGAGAAGCTCTCCTGCCGACATAGCGCTCTCCTCAACAGCGCTTTGATCGGGATCACTTATGTCGCTCAGGGGGGTGGATTATTCACCCCCCTGAGCACCGTAAGTTATACCTAAGTCAGTTCTAGTGTAGACAAGGTCTGAGGGTATGTCTACACTACGGAATAAGGTCAAATTTATAGAAGTCGGTTTTTTAGAAATCGGTTTTATAAATTCGAGTGTGTGTGTCCCCACAGAAAATGCTCTAAGTGCATTAAGTGCATTAACTCGGCGGAGCGCTTCCACAGTACCGAGGCAAGCGTCGACTTCCGGAGCGTTGCACTGTGGGTAGCTATCCCACAGTTCCCGCAGTCTCCGTTACCCATTGGAATTCTGGGTTGAGATCCCAATGCCTGATGGGGCTAAAACATTGTCGCGGGTGGTTCTGGGTACATATCGTCAGCCCCCCGTTCCCTCCCTCCCCCCGTGAAAGCAAGGGCAGACAATCATTTCGTGCCTTTTTTCCTGAGTTACCTGTGCAGACGCCATACCATGGCAAGCATGGAGCCCGCTCAGGTAACCGTCACCCTATGTCTCCTGGGTGCTGGCAGACGCGGTACGGCATTGCTACACAGTAGCAGCAACCCCTTGCCTTGTGGCAGCAGACGGTACAGTACGACTGGTAGCCGTCATCGTCATGTCTGAGGTGCTCCTGGTCGCCTCTGTGAGGTCGATCAGGAGCGCCTGGGCAGACATGGGCACAGGGACTAAATTTGGAGTGACTTGACCAGGTCATTCTCTTTAGTCCTGCAGTCAGTCCTATTGAACCGTCTTATGGTGAGCGGGCAGGCGATACGGACTGCTAGCAGTCGTACTGTACCATCTTCTGCCGAGCAGCCATGAGATGTGGATGGCATGCAGTCCTTCTGCACCGTCTGCTGCCAGCCAAAGATGTAAAAGATAGATGGAGTGGGTCAAAACAAGAAATAGACCAGATTTGTTTTGTACTCATTTGCTTCCCCCTCCCCTGTCTAGGGGACTCATTCTTCTAGATCACACTGCAGTCACTTACAGAGAAGGTGCAGCGAGGTAAATCTAGCCATGTATCAATCAGAGGCCAGGCTAACCTTCTTGCTCCAATAAGGACAATAACTTAGGTGCACCATTTCTTATTGGAACCCTCCGTGAAGTCCTGCCTGAAATACTCCTTGATGTAAAGCCACCCCCTTTGTTGATTTTAGCTCCCTGAAGCCAACCCTGTAAGCGCCCCTCCCAGCGTCAGAGCAATGGCAAACAATCGGGCATCTGAGAGTGCTGTCCAGAGCAGTCACAATGGAGCACTCTGATGGGGCTAAAACATTGTCGCGGGTGGTTCTGGGTACGTGTCGTCAGGCCCCCGTTCCCCTCCCTCCCTCTGTGAAAGCAAGGGCAGACAATCATTTCGCGCCTTTTTTCCTGAGTTACCTGTGCAGACGCCATACCACAGCAAGCATGGAGCCCGCTCAGGTAACCGTCACCCTATGTCTCCTGGGTGCTGGCAGACGCGGTACGGCTTTGCTGCACAGTAGCAGCAACCCCTTGCCTTCTGGCAGCAGACGGTGCAATACGATTGGTAGTCGTCCTCATCGTGTCCGAGGTGCTCCTGGCCGCGTCGGCTGGGAGCGCCTGGGCAGACATGGGCGCAGGGACTAAATTTGGAGTGACTTGACCAGGTCATTCTCTTTAGTCCTGCAGTCAGTCCTATTGAACCGTCTTATGGTGAGCGGGCAGGCGATACGGACTGCTAGCAGTCGTACTGTACCATCTTCTGCCAGGCAGGCAAGAGATGAGGATTGCTAGCAGTCGTATTGCACCATCTTCTGCCAGGCAGGCAAGAGATGGGGATGGCTAGCAGTCGTACTGTACCATCTTCTGCCGAGCAGCCATGAGATGTGGATGGCATGCAGTCCTTCTGCACCGTCTGCTGCCAGCCAAAGATGTAAAAGATAGATGGAGTGGGTCAAAACAAGAAATAGACCAGATTTGTTTTGTACTCATTTGCCTCCTCCCCTGTCTAGGGGACTCATTCCTCTAGGTCACACTGCAATCACTCACAGAGAAGGTGCAGCGAGGTAAATCTAGCCATGTATCAATCAGAGGCCAGGCTAACCTCCTTGTTCCAATAACAACGATAACTTAGGTGCACCATTTCTTATTGGAACCCTCCGTGCAGTCCTGCCTGAAATACTCCTTGATGTACAGGCACCCCCTTTGTTGATTTTAGCTCCCTGAAGCCAACCCTGTAAGCCGTGTCGTCAGTCGCCCCTCCCTCCGTCAGAGCAACGGCAGACAATCGTTCCGCGCCTTTTTTCTGTGCGGACGCCATACCACGGCAAGCATGGAGCCCGCTCAGCTCACTTTGGCAATTAGGAGCACATTAACCACCACACGCATTATTCAGCAGTATATGCAGCACCAGAACATGGCAACGCGATACCGGGCGAGGAGGCGACGTCAGCGCGGTCCCGTGAGTGATCAGGACATGGACACAGATTTCTCTGAAAGCATGGGCCCTGACAATGCATGCATCATGGTGCTAATGGGGCAGGTTCATGCTGTGGAACGCCGATTCTGGGCTCGGGAAACAAGCACAGACTGGTGGGACCGCATAGTGTTGCAGGTCTGGGACGATTCCCAGTGGTTACGAAACTTTCGCATGCGTAAGGGCACTTTCATGGAACTTTGTGACTTGCTTTCCCCTGCCCTGAAGCGCATGAATACCAAGATGAGAGCAGCCCTCACAGTTGAGAAGCGAGTGGCGATAGCCCTGTGGAAGCTTGCAACGCCAGACAGCTACCGGTCAGTTGGGAATCAATTTGGAGTGGGCAAATCTACTGTGGGGGCTGCTGTGATGCAAGTAGCCCACGCAATCAAAGATCTGCTGATATCAAGGGTAGTGACCCTGGGAAATGTGCAGGTCATAGTGGATGGCTTTGCTGCAATGGGATTCCCTAACTGTGGTGGGGCTATAGATGGAACCCATATCCCTATCTTGGCACCGGAGCACCAAGCCGCCGAGTACATAAACCGCAAGGGGTACTTTTCGATAGTGCTGCAAGCTCTGGTGGATCACAAGGGACATTTCACCAACATCAACGTGGGATGGCCGGGAAAGGTGCATGATGCTCGCATCTTCAGGAACTCTGGTCTGTTTCAAAAGCTGCAGGAAGGGACTTTATTCCCAGACCAGAAAATAACTGTTGGGGATGTTGAAATGCCTATATGTATCCTTGGGGACCCAGCCTACCCCTTAATGCCATGGCTCATGAAGCCGTACACAGGCAGCCTGGACAGTGGTCAGGAGCTGTTCAACTACAGGCTGAGCAAGTGCAGAATGGTGGTAGAATGTGCATTTGGACGTTTAAAGGCGCGCTGGCGCAGTTTACTGACTCGCTTAGACCTCAGCGAAACCAATATTCCCACTGTTATTACTGCTTGCTGTGTGCTCCACAATATCTGTGAGAGTAAGGGGGAGACGTTTATGGCGGGGTGGGAGGTTGAGGCAAATCGCCTGGCTGCTGGTTACGCGCAGCCAGACACCAGGGCGGCTAGAAGAGGACAGGAGGGCGCGGTACGCATCAGAGAAGCTTTGAAAAACAGTTTCATGACTGGCCAGGCTACGGTGTGAAAGTTCTGTTTGTTTCTCCTTGATGAACCCCCCCACCCCTTGGTTCACTCTACTTCCCTGTAAGCTAACCACCCTCCCCTCCTCCCTTTAATCATTGCTTGCAGAGCCAATAAAGTCATTGCTGCTTCACAGTCATGCATTCGTTATTCATTCATCACACAAATAGGGGGATGACTACCAAGGTATCCCAGGAGGGGTGGTGGAGGAGGGAAGGAAAATGCCACACAGCACTTTAAGCACAGCACTTTAAAAGTTTACAACTTTAAAATTTATTGAATGACAGCCTTCTTTTTTTTGGGCAATCCTCTGTGGTGGAGTGGCTGGTTGGCCGGAGGCCCCCCCACCGCGTTCTTGGGCGTCTGGGTGTGGAGGCTATGGAACTTGGGGAGGAGGGCGGTTGGTTACAGAGGGGCTGCAGTGGCAGTCTGTGCTCCAGCTGCCTTTGCTGCAGCTCAACCATACACTGGAGCATACTGGTTTGGTCCTGCAGCAGCCTCAGCATTGAATCCTGCCTCCTCTCATCACGCTGCCGCCACCTTTGAGCTTCAGCCCTGTCTTCAGCCCGCCACTTCTCTCTTCAGCCCGCCACTTACTCTCTTCAGCCCTCCACCTCTCCTCCCGGTCATTTTGTGCTTTCCTGCACTCTGACATTATTTGCCTCCACGCATTCGTCTGTGCTCTGTCAGTGTGGGAGGACAGCATGAGCTCGGAGAACATTTCATCACGAGTGCGTTTTTTTTCTTTCTAAGCTTCACTAGCCTCTGGGAAGGAGAAGATCCTGTGATCATTGAAACACATGCAGCTGGTGGAGAAAAAAAAAGGGACAGCGGTATTTAAAAAGACACATTTTATAAAACAGTCGCTACACTCTTTCAGGGTAAACCTTGCTGTTAACATTACATACATAGCACATGTGCTTTCGTTACAAGGTCGCATTTTGCCTCCTCCCACCGCGTGAACGGATTTTGGTTGAATGCCAGCAAACATACACTGCAATGCTTTGTTCTACAGTGATTCCCCAGTACGTGTTGCTGGCCTGGAGTGGTAAAGTGTCCTACCATGAAGGACGAAATAAGGCTGCCCTCCCCAGAAACCTTTTGCAAAGGCAGAACCGCAAATGCCAGGGCAAAGTAATCCTTTCACATGCTTGCTTTTAAACCATGTATAGCATTTTAAAAGGTACACTCACCAGAGGTCCCTTCTCCGCCTGCTGAGTCCAGGAGGCAGCCTTGGGTGGGTTCGGGGGGTACTGGCTCCAGGTCTAGGGTGAGAAACAGTTCCTGGCTGTCGGGAAAACCGGTTTCTCCGCTTGCTTGCTGTGAGCTATCTACAACCTCCTCATCATCATCTTCTTCGTCCCCAAAACCTACTTCTGTATTGCCTCCATCTCCATTGAAGGAGTCAAACAACACGGCTGGGGTAGTGGTGGCTGAACCCCCTAAAAGGGCATGCAGCTCATCATAGAAGCGGCATGTTTGGGGCTCTGACCCAGAGCGGCTGTTCGCCTCTCTGGTTTTCTGGTAGGCTTGCCTCAGCTCCTTCAGTTTCACGCGGCACTGCTTCGGGTCCCTGTTATGGCCTCTGTCCTTCATGCCCTGGGAGATTTTCAGAAAGGTTTTGGCATTTCGAAAACTGGAACGGAGTTCTGATAGCACGGATTCCTCTCCCCAAACAGCGATCAGATCCCGTACCTCCCGTTCAGTCCATGCTGGAGCTCTTTTGCGATTCTGGGACTCCATCATGGTCACCTGTGCTGATGAGCTCTGCATGGTCACCTGCAGCTTGCCACGCTGGCCAAACAGGAAATGAGATTCAAAAGTTCGCGGTTCTTTTCCTGTCTACCTGGCCAGTACATCTGAGTTGAGAGCGCTGTCCAGAGCGGTCAGAATGGAGCACTCTGGGATAGCTCCCGGAGGCCAATACCATCGAATTGTGTCCACAGTACCCCAAATTCGAGCCGGCAACGTCGATTTAAGCGCTAATCCACTTGTCAGGGGTGGAGTAAGGAAATCGATTTTAAGAGCCCTTTAAGTCGAAATAAAGGGCTTCATTGTGTGGACGGGTGCAGGTTTAAATCGATTTAACGCTGCTAAATTCGACCTAAAGTCCTAGTGTAGACCAGGGCTAAGATACCAGAGCAACTGCTGCTGCTATTTCAACAGGACGAGAAGAAGGAGGTTGCAGGATGGTGAAGGAGAGAAAATCAACACTGCAGGAGAAGGTAAAGACCAGGAGAATCCAGAAGCCAAGTCACCAGAGAGGCACAGGGAACCTCTCTGCAACCTCCCCAAAACTCTCATTTGAAGAGGGGTGTGGACTGTGGAATATGTAGCTTTCTCCCAAAAAACATAAAGAAATAGCTTTGAGCTCTGATGCGCTAGGTAAGGTCAGTTCTTTGATGGGGTTAGTGAGGGGTTCAATGCCATTTAACTAATCCACTTTCAAGTCACACCTTCTACTAATCAAAATTCATTTTGCTGAGCGTCCCCCTGTTGGCAAGCCCTGAATTCTCTGCGCTGACCCGTCCCTTCAAGGCCCTGGGTTTGTGGTACAGGAAGGGCTTGATCACTTTTTATAGTGGGGGAGCTGAAAGCCGGCTAGTTGGACCCCCGTGTGTTCACAAGCAATGAGAAAAAGCACAATTCCTGCTCACACTACTCAGGGGCAGCAGCTCCAGGGTTCTCAAGGATCACACAATAATGCTAGCTTCAGAGGCGTGCACATGGGATGGGCCCAGGCACACCCGAATCAGGGTCGCCCCAAGCACAAAAAAAAAAATCAGGGTCGCCCCGGCCCAGCCACTCTTCTCTGCCCCCCACTCTCTCCTGCGGGGGAGAAGCTAGGTGGGTCTGCGCCCCGGGCTCAGTCCTGCTGCTCCGAGGCTACCGGCAGCCAAGTTCCCACCTCGCCCCACAGCTCGCTGCAGACTCGCCCCACCTCCGCCCCCTGCTCCCAGTCCGCGGTGTGCCAGGCAGAGAGAGGGGGACGTGGAGAAGAGGCGGGGACAGGGCCTTGAGGAAGGGGGTGGAATCGGGGTATACCCCCTCCAGCCCCCTCCTGTGAACCGCTCAGGGCAGGGGCCTGGGAGCACCCCACGACTTCAGCGCACCTGCCCAGCCCTGACCCTTGCAGCCCTCTCCCACACACACAGCCCTCTGCCTTGACTCCTGCATGCCCCAGCCCTGACTCCTGCACCCCCCTCACACACCCTGCCCTGACTCCTGCACCCCCCCCACACCCAGTCCTGACACCTGCACCTCCCACACATCCCCACCCCCACCCTGAGCACCAAACTGGAGCTCTTGCACCCTCCCTCCCCACATACCAACCTGCACCCCTGGCACCGAATGGGAGCTGCCCCAGGTAAGCGCTCCACACCCCCAACCTCCTGCCCCAACCCTGAGCCCCCTCCCTCATTCTACCTCCTGTTCAGACCCTGCATCCTAACCCCCAGCCTTCTCCTTCACACCCAGCCCTGTGCTCAGTGCGCCCCACCCTCAGCTCAGTGCAGAGCGAGACGAAGAGAATAGGCTAGAACCAGGGCTAAGGTATGTAACCACCCTATGTGGGCAGGAGTGGGGGGGAAATCCTGTTTACCCCCTTTCCAGCCCTGCTGTGCTTCCAGTTTACCCCCGGCCCCTCTCTTGCTCCAAGCATCAACCCTAGCTCCTGCCCCACTGTGCTTTTGCCCTCAGCCCCTGCCTCGCTCCAGTCAACAGGGACTAGTCTTCCCCTCATCCCCCACTGTGCTCATCTTGCCCCTGTCCCCTGCCTCACTCCAGCTGGGGACCAATCCTTCCCCCCGCCCCCATGCCCAACTTTGAGGGTGGATAAAAATCAATGACTTTTTTTAAAAAATCAAATAATCTGATTTTTTTAATTTAAATTGGATTTTTGAGGAAAAAATATCTAAAGATTGTTTTAATTAAGGTACATCAGAGATGCTTAGTTTTGCAGTTCGCAAATTGTGGATTTGTGTCTCCAGAGGTAACGTGCTTGTTAACATCAAAAATGTTTTAAATAAATAAATAATACAGAGAGGTGAGAAGTAACAGACCTCAACTCTATTGTCCCTCTGCAAATTTGTGGACACAGGGTCAACCCCTTACCTCTCTTTAAAAGTGAAAAGTTTCAAAAAGTTCAATGAATAGAAGATTGTTGGGGGCAGAATAGATCTGGACAAGGAAAAGAAGTCTGGAGATAAACGTGAGAAGTGAGAGACATATGCTTTTTGTTAAACTATTATGTTTGCTGTTGAGGAAAAATATCCAGAATACTTCACATTGTTGTTTTAGTTAAATAAAGCAATTTAAATATCTGTCTGGGGATGGTCTCTTCCTAATACAGCCTGGCAAGAAAATCCTCCAAATATTAATGATTAACCTGTTGAATTGGAGAGAGTTCACCTCCCAATAACTTCATAAATCTCTGCGTCAGTTACCTTTGGTAAATGAAATAACCAAACACTCATTCGTTTTGTGACATGGCTGTAAAACTCATCTGAAAAGTTTTCAAAATAAATCACGGTTTAAAAATGTATAGTGTTTCCCTTCTAAAAGTGAAACCTACATCAAACTCTGAGTTGTGAAGAATATGTATTAAGGTTATAACAACCAACAAGAATGCACTTTTATGTAGAAAACCATGATTAAATGGAGTCTTCCTGACGAGTGATTTAAATCAAATCCACCCGGCCCGCTGTGCTCTGGCCCTGGCCTCTTCATTCCCCAGGGGGGCCCACAAATATGTTTGGTGCCAGGCCCACAGAAAGTCAATCCTGCCCTGTTCCTAGAATGAACCCTCATTGAGTGGGGCGATCCCCAGGGAGCAGCTCCAACCTCCAGAGTGTCTGGCCAGTGACAGGACATGAGCACGGCAAGGGAGGGGGGTGGCAGTGACATCACACAGGCCTTTTGCAGGAGCTCAGCCGATTGGTCAAAGGTGGTGGGGAGGTGGTGACCTCACAGACAGATGCTGACATCAGCCAGGCAAGATGGGGAGGGGCCAGGGAAGTCTCCTTCTCGAAGTCTCTCCGTGAGGACTGAGAGGGGATCAGGGGTCACGTCCGTGAGCGCCAGGAGGAACCTCTGTCGACTTTTCTCCTTTCCGTTCATTGATTTGACGAGAAAACAGATGTCCCTGTTGAGAAGGTAAGAGCCTGCTCAGGGCTGAAACCTCTTCAGTTGGATCCGTCTGGTGACAGTTGAATTCTAGGCGTGGAAAACACAAGCTTAAGGAGGCAGAATTTTATTCCGCACCTAGAATTTTGTCCCTTAGAATCACTGGGAACATGAGGGTTTGTCCGTTTTATTTCACCTTTTCCTCCATCCCTCCCTCCTTTCTCTTCTTCTCTTGCATCTTTTGTCCTTTCTCCTCTTCCCCTCCCAACACCAGGAGGCGTGTGTGTGTGTGTGTGTGTGTGTGTGTGTGTGACGGGAGAGTGCTCTGCAGCTCATGTCGTGGGAGGTCCGCCCAAAAATGTGGGGCTGAAATAGTGCTCGGGCAGTGATCCCCACAAGTGACCTGGGCCATCCTTTGGGCTCTCTGGTAAGAACTCTCAGCCTCCAGTCCTCAGCCTCTACCCTGATTGGCTGAGCAGGGGGTTATTGACAGGGAGGAGACTCGGGTCCTTGTTGTTCTCTTTTAAGACCAAGTAAGTTAGTAAGTCACAACCAGTCATATGGTTGACGAATTATGCTGCTTCTCTGCATTAATTGTCTCTGAGCAGTTCATGATTCTCTTGAACATTCCAGTTCTCCTCAAATACTTGCTGAATAATTCCTGTGCACTCTTGTTGGTCTGGAACTCATTTGAGAGCACTTTATTCAGGTCATTTAGTGTATGAAATTGAAGATCCGATGGTTAGTTTGAAAATCAGGGCTCTTGGGTCCTATTCCCAACTCTGCCACTGACTGGCTGTATGACCTAAGACAAGTCAATTCTCCTTTCTCAGTCTTAACTTCTCCCTCTTCCAAGTAGGGATAATAACGGTCCACTCCTACCTACCTCACGGTGGGTGGAGGATGCGGATCCATTGGAGAGTGTCACTGGGAGTAGTGCATAATATGAGGTGTCTTATCACGTTTACTCAGATCAAATTATGACATAATAGAATAGGTGAAATAGTCTATTTTATTTGTATTTTCTTATCTAATTTTTGAGATCTTAGTATCTCCTCTTTGTGTGCGGTGAGACAATTTAACACACTGTGACAAAGAGGAGATGCTTTTGTTTGACAACAAAATCTTTTTTGCAAAGAACTCTCATCCCACTTGTTATGATTTCCAGGAACAAACTGCTTTAGTCTGAATGGGATTTTCTGACAGAAACGGTTTCAATGAAATTTCCCACCATCTCGATTCCTGGGCTCTATCCCTGCCTCTTGGGGATTTGTTGTCCGTTAGGAGTCAGGACTGGTGGCTTCTCTTTCTGGCTCTGCCACCCCCTTGCTGTGTCGGCCCTTGGATAGGTCACTTCCCTTCTCTGTCCCTCCAGCTCCTCCCCATCTGTTCAATGAGAACAGGGACAATTCTCCAACTCTGGGCAGTCGTGATCCTGAGTGAGATAAAGGGCGTTAAAGACCTCTAGGAAGGAGAAGGGGGAGTTTCACGGTGTTTAGCACCAAGGAATTCTAAAGTTTGCTAAAATGTCTAGTCTGTGGAAACAAGAAATGGTCAGGGCCAAATTTTTTAACCACTGCCTTTTTAAAGGCCCATTCAGGGATGTGCGTCCCTGACTTTTAGGTACCTGGGGTTCTTTGCCAGCAGGAGAGAAGAGGTTCCTGCCTCTAGTTTTGTGGCCTTAACAAACCAGGTGCTGTGCCCCAGTTCTCGTCTGAGATCCCTGAAAAAGAACATCTTCCCGTCCAGTAACAAGACAGGACCTATTTTTAAAAGGGGAACAAAGCGAACCCTGGGACCCCGCCCTGGAGCCAGAGCTGGAGACCCACCTCCTTCATGCTGCCCTTCATGACATGTTCACCCTGAGCATGGAGAAGGACCCCACCCAAGTCCAGGTAGATCATGCTAAAGTCATGGCTTGAAGAGCTAGTTGTCATCCTGCCACGAATCCTTGCTAATTGCCTGCAGTGGGATGTGAATGAGAGAGGCCAGGATATGTGTTTGGGGGTCTCACCACTGCTTCCCACAGACCCCTCTTCCTATCCTGTGGCAGGTGTGGCCCCAGTCTCCCTAACTCTGACCCATGATTCTCCCTTGCTTTGCAGGATCTGCATAGGGTCTTGCTAGACATCCTGAATGCCATGCTGGGTAATCTGCTGGCAGAGTCCCCAGGCACCAACAGGCTCCACTACATTTTGGAGGTGAGTGTGATGAGAGGGGTCGGAGCAATTTTACCTTAACTCTTAGATCCATTTTCCAGTCTGTCCTCCTAGCTGGGCCCGCAGTAGGCCATACTTGGTCAGGGCAGTTAGTGCAATGCAGTGTCAGGCCCTTCCTCCTGGAAGGACAGAGGAAGGAGCTGGGACTTCAAGCCAGAGGTCTGCCTGGTTCTGTTCAGCACTAACCACAGGGCCCCTGGCTGGCTTGGGGAGCGAGAGTCTGAACCCCTCCTGTGAGATCCAGAAGACGGTCCTCAGAGAAGAGTCACAGGCTCGTTCCTAGAGAAACAGGAGGACCCCCACAGAATCAGCCCTTGTCTCCGAGGGGCCCTGAGAGCGCCCTGTCTCTTTCCTGGTAAGCTGTTCAGGAATCAGGAGTTCAGGGAGGATGGGAACAGCCCCAACACTGAGCATTGTCCCAATCTAGAGAGACAGTGACAAGTTGTGACCTGCAGGATACAACCACCCCACACACAATGTCTCAGCCCCCTGGGGATGGGGAGGGGCTCATTAGCACAACACATGCACCTACCCATTGATCCTGAGCTGCCTCCTTTCCCCACAGCACATTAACTACTGGATCGTGTCCAGGGTGTCGCATGAGAGAGCCAGGGCCATTAGGAGCAGCATGGCCCTGCTCAGATCCACCATCACCCTCCCTGCGTTCGACG